GAAAGTAGTACAGCAGTCCATTCAATTGCATCCAATTTTATTCCCGTCCATTCAATTGTATCAAATTCTATCCCTGCATGCGCATGTCCGAACTTTCCCCTCCCAGTTTGACGTTTTAAGATTTTCTTTAAAACCTCAACGCACACACATGCTTGCCTCTAGTCAATTGTTCCTCAGTGAAATGTCGTGGGTTATATTTCGCTTCTTTCGGACCCAGTGTGGGGAATTGTTCGTCCTTGATTCGATCTTGAATCTAGGAAAGAAGTGTATTATTTCAAACATGGTTCGCCTAATTTCCTTGTTCTTTACAGGGATGTAAGGGATCAGGCACTATTAGAGAGTTTTAGCTTTACGTTTACGGCAAACGTCAAACCGCTAACGAAGTTTTTGATTTTACAAGTCTATTATAACAGCTTTTACACCAGTTTTGAAATATAAACAATTATTAAACTTGTGCTCTTTAGCAATGATTTAAAAGAAAGCAAATTAACCACTAGACACGTATTCGCGAAAGCAGTAAATTATGATTTGGCGTTTGAAGTTTACGTTTGGCGTATAAATTTCATGCTTGAACTGCTATGAGGGCTTTGTATAGTCGTTAAAGCATGAAATTTATACGCCAAACGTAAACTTCAAACGCCAAATCATAATTTACTGCTTTCGCGAATACGTGACTAGTAGTTAATTTGCTTTCTTTTAAATCATTGCTAAAGACCACAAGTTAAATAATTGTTTATATTTCAAAACTGGTGTAAAAGCTGTTATAATAGACTTGTAAAATCAAAAACTTCGTTAGCGGTTTGACGTTTGCCGTAAACGTAAAGCTAAAACTCTCTATTTATGCCCTAACCCTAACGAAATTGAAGATAAATATCACTTTGTACTATCTTGTAACTACAACAGAGAAGACAGAAACACCACAAACAATATATTACAAAGACAATGCAACGAAACACTCGACTATAAAAAAAAGATAACCTCGTGAATATAATAAAATCTAATGATCCGAAAGTACTGAATGTTTTTTCAAAATATATTACAGTTAGTTTTGAAAAACGAATGAGTACTTTGAAGCCAGAAATACAAATAATGCCTAAAGCAAATTGTATAAAAAAAATCCTTAACCGATATAGACACTATATATTAAATTAAAACCCTGAAATAGTAATATATCTTGTAATCTTAAATATGTCTCATAGTGATCACCAATATGTAAATAATATAAAGTTAAAATATGTTATTATTAGTTAGCTATGAACGTTAATAGTTATACTGATGGAACTACAGTACTTTAGCAATATCTTGTAATTTAATAAAGTCATTACAATTTGAAAATTTGAAATTTATGGAGGGGGGTAAAAGGGTGGGAAAATGAAAACCAAAACAAGTCAAGGGTTGGGTAAATTATTTTTCCAAAGCACGACTCACTCAGATATTGAAGACTAAAAAGCAATGTCAACAGTCATACATGTATGTCAATACAATGTGTAAATCAATCAGAGTCAGTATCTTGACCATTTTCCGATTTGTCAGGAGACAAATGGTGTCTCCAAAGAAAGTACATGTGCAGACAACATGAAATTTTAGACTGCAGAAATTGCACAAGCAGTTATCAAACTCATGTCACAGAAGTTGTAAAGAACATGTGTGAAAACTGAATGGTATACTTTTGTAACGTTTTTGGTCAGGGGTGGGTATTTATTTCAGTTTAATTGATATTTGAGACTGGGCAAAATTTTTTTTTTACATTTTAATGGTTGGATTAACAATTTTTTTACTAAGAAAAACATTTCTCTTCAGTGCGATCTATATAGAGAGGAATATTTAGAGTAACAAATAAAAGTTATAGTTTCGTCTGTGACATCGTGGCGGTGTTTATGTACTATTTAAAGCACGCGTAGGTGTGTTTTATCAGATATAAAACACGAGGCGCAGCCGATCGTTTTATATCAGATAAAACACGACTACAAGTGCTTTAAATGGCTTAAAAAACGACTCATCTTATATGAGTTCATTGGCGAAGTAATTTTTAAAATAAACTTTGTCTAAACCGAGAAAATCAAAGCTAACGTTTATGTAATTAACGTGATTTTTTATCACATATAAAGATACGACACGCTTATGATTTTTCTTTGTGTTTTCCTTCTGAATTATTAATGAGTTTTTGAAATAAAACTACAATGTTCACCATCTACGAATATGACAAAAAGTGACAAGCTTACCTTTCTAGCTACCGCATAGATACCATTGAGAACCTTGAAGGTAAGACAAATAGCATATAAATATACAAAGCATGTATACCATGCATCAGGTGATTATGTGAAACAAGATCTCGGAAGCTTAATTTATTCATCTCACCTGGTTCATGTTTCGTTCTTCGTATAAGTCGATAGTTTGAAACAGATCTTGTTCTGTGCAGCCCCATTTTTTTGCCGCAGTTAGAAAGTTAAATATATTCTCCGTCTACAAAACCAAACAGATCAGCCATTCAGTCGACATGCAAACTAAACCAACTTTACATTGGATAGCTCAGTTCTAACAGTTCTTCTAAAGCTGTGCGCCGTAGCCGGAGTACCGGAGCTCCGGCATATTTTGCCGGAACCGGAGCTGGAATTGGAAAACTCCGGCAAACGAAATTATGAAAAATTATTTCATATTTCAATGAACTTTTGGTAATGGAAAAATTAAGTTGAATGATTTGAAGTTACCGGCTATAAATTACTTGCTCCGATCCGATTCGTGGCTACGAAAATTCTGTAAGCGCATTGCTATCGCTTTTGATACAAAAATCCGCTGACCCCGATGTATTTTGGGCGAAAATACCACGCTACCATGCGGTTTTACTTTCTACAAAACATTGTTTAAACAAGCACCGAAGCACGTATATTTGATAAGTAAAGGAAAAAGCTCAAAAAGGAATAAAATAAATTCTGAAATTACAGTGAAATACTTTCACCTGCTTCTACTTTTAAATATGAAATTTCCTTAAAATCTCCTTGCCGGAGCCGGAGTTTTGACTGCCGGAGCTAAAATAACCGGAGTTTGCACAGCTCTAAGTTCTTCCCGCTCGAGATTCGGAGTAAGGGTCCTCTCTTACTGTCAGTGGCATAGGACTGAAACACTAACAGGGGGTATAACAAGGCGTGAGGTGACAAGGCATGGAGGGCAGGGGCGGGTCTACCGTTGGGTGCGGGAGGCGGGGGGGGGGGGGTGCGCACCCCCTATCTAGCATCCCCCTAGAGAAGCCTGTATCACCATAAAATAATCTGCTTGACCAAACATTTTCATCATCTTCAATTTTTGTCTTGGTAAATTTGTGTCAAATTAAACACGTTCCCTACCATTTTGAAGCGGGTTAGGTTTTCTTCGTGAATTTTCCTGATAGTCCCTGGTTCCAACGTGTTTACTAACCTGTAATAAAACGACACGATCAGCCACGGATCTAACCACTTCTGCACGTGATAAAGGTGCTCTATCAATATGAGCAATTATTGACCACGGCATATACGAATATAGTGAGAAGTTTGACAATGGTATGAATATACTGCGATATAAAAAAGGAGTGAACAGTGTGCCAAAATTTTTCAAGATGAGAAATGCGATAATTCGTAATAAATTTTCCTTGCATTACACATTTTTTTTTAAATCTTGAAAATAATTCAAAATACTAAAAGACATCATCTTATGTCAAATTACTACCTAAAACGTCCGCCATACTGAAACGTCCTTAGTGTTTTATACTAGTCAGAAACATTTTGTTTCTAAACAAATACTAATACTAATTGTCCAAAAATTCATATCGAAATCAGAAAATCTTCCATTTTTCATGTAGTGTTTGAAGCCAGTTTATAAAGCCTGGTTTACACTGTCAAAGTTTCTGTGATCACAGCAGAAATTTTTAAGGGAACTGACTCACTGTTTAACACTGAGTGAGTTCCCTCAAACATTTCTTACAAATCCTTCAAAACGTAGGATTTAGATTTAGTCCAGTGGTGCCTAAATTACTTTGAATTTGTACTCGAATAAAAGTAAAAGTAATTAACAATAAAACGACTTGAGTAAGAGTAAAAAGTACTGGAGGCAAAACGTACTTAAGTAAAAAGTACAAAGTATCTTTAAAAAATACTTGAAGTAAAAAGTAAAAGTACTATTGTCTGTAGCGTGTAGGGGGGGGGGGGGGGGGGGTCTCCAATGGACTGACATACAAGACACAAAACACAAAACAGGACACGCATTATATGCGTGCACCTAATATACAATATTTCACGGCATGGTTTACTTTCCAAACCCCGTTGAAGATATAAGAAATCCATTAAATAATTAATGCTTATAAGTAAGCCACAAACGAGAGATCCCAGACACATGTGGAGGTCCTATTACCTATCCCAAAATTAAAATAAATCCCGAATCACGTAAAATTAAACAAAAGTTAGAAAGTAACGAAATACTTCGCCACAAAATGAAAATAACGAAGTAAAACGTTACGTCTTAAAATGACTTCGTTTCAAGTAAAAGTACTCCAGAAAAAGTTTCCTTTGTTACATGCTGACTTCTCAAAAATAGTACTCAAGTACAGTAACGAAGTACATTTACTTCGTTATTTGACACCACTGGGATTTACCAATGCAAAATTCCTACTGTGATCACAGAAAATTTGATAGTATAAACGAGGCTTAACGTACTTGCATAGGAATATTCCGTCTTTAAGCACGCGGGCAAACTCCCTGGGTCCCAGTACTCTATGGTTTATTCTCCATTCATTGAGTTGCTCCAGAGACTCGACGTCAGCGGGTGGATCATCCATTAATATTCCTGTCACATCTTCTATCCATAGCCTGGCGTTCAGCTCACCATCAATGTCGTAACTTGCTTCAAGCTATAGCACGGAACAAATGAAGGAATGTTACTTGCTGTGTTGGTGTAATGTACTCAGGTGAATAAGATGTTTGTGATGTTACTCTGAGTGTATATCCACACCGGGCAGGCTTGAAAAATATGCCTGGCCACGGTGGGAATCGAACCTACGACCTTTGGAATACTAGCCCAATGCTCTGCCAACTAAGCTACGCGGTCAGGTCGGTTCGAGAATGCGATATTTCGGAACTGAGTCTAGTTCCTTCGACATCAGTGTAATGGAGTTACATTGCATTGGGCTAGTATTCCAAAGGTCGTAGGTTCGATTCCCACCGTGGCCAGGCATATTTTTCAAGCCTGCCGGGTGTGGATATACACTCAGAGTAACATCAGTCATCACAAGCAAATGAAGGAATGTTTTTGAATACTACTAGACACTGTTTGATTTCATGTAACGTAAAAGCTATACAAAGCTATCGCAATGGAATAAAAAAGATGATTGCATTCAGAAAGGACCAACTTAGATTTTGATATATAACACTTGAATTTACATGCCGCAATATTTAGCGAGATACAAGCAAAACAAAAATATTTGTTATTTAACAAGTACAACTACATCGGTAATTATAACTAAGGTTGTTTTATGCTAATTTTTTGCATTTTCAAAAACAGTAGTTCAACGTTCAAACATCAATATCGCAGTCAATATTACATGTTACTTAGATTTTGATATAGCACTTGAAAGTCCTTTCTGAATGCAATGATCTTTATTCCATTGTGAAATCAAACAGCGTCCAGTTTTTGGGGGTTTTTTGGTAAGCGTAGTGACTTGTGTATATGAGGCGTACTAATTATCCTTACTTGCATCTGAGAGCTAGGCTGAATTACGAGGGACACAGCTCAACCTGATGAAGTCGAAGGCTTTCTAAGGGCGCCTCTGCAGCCACCTTATGACTCATGTCTGATCACGGAGCACAGTTACGGTGGAAGGACCAGTTTGGAACTTATCCCAACCCAACCTGTCAATTACGAAGGACGCAGGTCAATTTGATAGAGTTGATGTTCTGGAGTCCTACGGTGGCTTCCTGAGGCGCCCTTATTAATTGTCTGATCACGGAACACAGCTGCAATTTACGGGTTGGTTTGGGACTTATTCCAACCCATCCTGTCAACATTTCCTGTGGGAGGAAACCCGAGTACCCAGAGAAAACCCACGACTTTCGGAAGGGCGTTGACAGACTCTTTTCACATTAGTGCCATTAGTGCAGATTACGGATAGATTCTTTTTCTGGAAAAATTGTAATCCAAGCCTTCGTTGGCATTTTCTAAAGGCAAATTTTCCTTTTATATAAGCTGCACTAATTGATAATGAGTGGACTGCTTACATATTTTTTCTTTGGGAATGGACCTTTCACCTTTTGACTAAAATTTAGATTTCAACAAGCCTGGACAAAAATTTCATCACAGCTTGAAAGAGCATCACGAAATTAGTAATATTCCAAAGTTTCATTGCGAAATGTTGTAAAATGCGGATAATATAACCTTGCGAAGTTTGCCATTTTCAGTCATTTTGTATTACGCGCGGGAAATACATACCTCCTTCGGAAAAGGGTATGTATTTCCCGTTTGTAATACAAAATGACTGAAAATTGCAAACTTAGCAAGGCTATATTATCCGCATTTTACAACATTTCGCATCGAAACTTCGGAATATTACTAATTTTGTGATGCTCTTTCAAGCTGTGATAAAATTTTTGTCTAGACTTGTTGAAATCTAAATTTTAGTCAAAAGGTGAAAGGTCCATTAAGTATCTCAATTAAATTATTTAGACAGTTTCAGATAATCTTAAATAATTTTAAATCTGTAAATATAATATTGTCGACGTTTTGGAACATATATTATAGTCATTATCATATTACTTGTAATTGTTTCTGAAAAGCCATTCATGGAGAAACAAACATTTAGAAAATAATAATACTACCACTAACAGTCTTCGCCACTTATAATTACACATACAGAAGTAAGAAATTATAAGCATTGAAGGTGTAAAACTGTCCATGCCAAGAAAGTAGAATTAGAATATTTAATAGCTGACCTTCGACATTGTGCAAGGTGTTTTTGTATTCAAATTGCACTTTTCCTACCTCCTAAACAGGGGTCTTAGGGGTGCTTTACGTACTATTTAAAAAACGAGCAGGAGTGTTTTAATAGGTTTAAAGCCACGAGCGCGCAGCGCGAGTGGCTTTAGACCTAATAAAACACG